GCTACCTACCGAAAGGAAAATTCTAGACGCTTCGCGTATCCCCGCCGGCCCGTCCAGAAACGACGCCCAGGCGAGTAGAGGGTCGTCCTGAGGGGCTTTTCGGCGTCTTGGGTGCCTCGGGGGGGCCTCTGGGCCGTTCGGGATCCTCTTTGGGGCCTCCTGGGGGCCTCTTGGGGCCTCTTGGGGCCATCATGGGGCCTTTGGGGGCCTCCTGGGGGCTTCTTGGGGCCTCCTGGGCGCTTCTTGGGTGCCTCTGGGGGGTCTCTTGGGGCCTCTTGGGGGTCTCTTGGGGGCCTCCTGGGGGCCTCTTGGGGGGCCTCGGAGCCATCTTGGAGGAGATCGATCTAAGAAGGGGGGTTCCCTAATTACAGTCCCCCCCTCAGGAGCCACGATCCTCGTGAGGGGTGTCGAATTTTAGCCCTCCCAGGGGTCGATCTTGGGCGCTCCAACGCGCCGCGGAACCCCCTGTCCAGGTCAGTGGGGGGGGGGGGGGGTAAACCCTTCCCCGAAGGGGAAGAAGGAGGGGTGGAAGAGGAAACGCTCTAAACCACCGACGCCCAGAGGGCTGGTGGGATTGTTGCAGGTCCACGGCTTCAAGAAGTTCCCGAGCTACTGGGAGGTCGCCGAGCTGCCGCGACAGGGGGCCGAAGGCGCTGGCGATGGCGGCGAGGCCGAGGCGCGGGCGAGGAGCTTGCTCAGGTGCAGGCCCAGTGAGCAGGAGCTCGCGTGGCAGAGCTCGGGGCCGTGCGCCGTGCGCCGCTCGGGGTTCGCTCTGGCGCGCGCCTCCTACCTGACATGCGCGCTGTCGCAGAGTCAGACGCTGCGCAAGGGCGTCGCCGTCGACTGCGCCAGGGATGAGGACGGTCGCGCGGGCAAGTCAGACGAGCAGCGTTGAATGCGCCTTCGTGCCATGTTTTCCCGCGCCGCGTGCACGCGGAACGTGATGATCTTGCGGCCGCCCGCGCGAGAGTTCTCGGGTGGCCGCCGGCGCCCCCTATGAAGGCGATCGGAGAGTTCGACGGGGGGGCGGTGAACTCCAGGGCTGAGGCGGAGCAGCTCGCGGCAGAGCTGGGCTTCGCGCTGCCTCCCGCTTGGGCGCGGCCGCCACTAGCTCGGGATTGGCGGGCTGGCGGGGTTGTCCCAGTGACTTGCCCCCGCGCCCCAGCGGCTCGCGGGGTTGTCTCGGCGGCCCGGCCCGAGCGGTTGCCCGGGCGGCTTCGCGATCCAGCCGTCAGACAACGCGGCCCTTGTGGCCGCGGCGGCGACGGCGCCGAGGAAAATCGACGCGCGTGCCCCGGCCAGAAGGGAGGGTGCGCGGTGCGCGGGGAAAACAGGTTGGATGGGGATGAGGAGAAGGAGACAGAGGATGAGGTGGAGGACGAGGAGAGGAGGAGGAGGAGGAGGAGGAGGAGGAGGAGGAGGAGGAGGAGAGGAGGAGGAGGGGAGGAGGAGGAGGAGGAGGAGGAGGAGGAGGAGGAGGAGGAGGACAAGCACATGGAACGAGGAGGACGCGAAGGAGGAGTGTGCGCAGGACGAGGGGGAAGAGCGGGAGGAGGAGGCGCAACAGAGGGCGGGAGACGGGCTTCCGCCAAGGCGAAGAAGACAGCACGAGGGGCAAACTAATTAGAATTCCGTGTGGGGTCCTACCAGCGGGGTAATTCTGAAACGCGCGTAAAATACCCCCTGGGTAGACAACGTTTGCCAAAAAGGAGGCCGCCGAGCATGCCATGTCGGACGATCTCGATAGGGTCCGTGGCCTGGACATATTTAAGCCGCAAGCGCGCTCAGAGACCCGAAATTTCTTTGACGCTAGATGGGTGCTCACATGGAAGCTCATGCAGTTGGATCGGCCGTGAGCGGGGCAGCAGGCATCCATCGTAAAGGCGCAGCAGGTCAAGGCCTGCATGACGGTGCGAAATTACTATGGCGCGCCACCGTCGGACATCGCCACCTTCTCGGGCACCACCTCGCGTTGGGGCCAGCGCCTTGTCGTGATTATCGCTGTGCAGGCAGGTTGGGACCCGTTTAGCCTGGGCGGCTCGCAGGCATTCGTTCTTACGTGCCATGCCGTCCTCCGAGCGTGCCAAGCTCGACGGCGAAATCTCTCGCGACGTGCCGTTTACGGTCAGAAGTTTCAGGCTACGCCGACGACGGCCGGAAGGAGGTCCAGAATATGCTCCGACCAGGTTTCGGGCTCAATCAAGGGCGCGCTTAAATTGTGCAGCTCGGTGCTCGTCGAGACACTTGCGGGGTTCGGACTACACCAAACCACGACCGATTCGCAGCTGCTCGTGAAACACGATTTTCATGGGTAGTTCAGCTCATCGTGCCCACGCACGTTGGCGACCTGAAGGGAGCTGGGGAGGACAAGGTGCGCGACGCCTTCACTGCGCACCTGGAGACCAAACTCGGCAAACCCAAACTCGAGCCGAGATCGTTCCAGCACATTGGCATAACACATGCGCAACAGCATATAGCTGCAGCAACACGTGTGTGCTAAGAAGCTGAGCCAGAACGGCATTGCCAAGTACGGCGCGAGGACTTGGACGCACCAGCTCTGGCGGTGCTGGTCGCAGCTTACCGAGCCCTTCTAGGTCGGTGTGGCTTGGATGTGCATGGCGAATCTCGCATGGTGTGTTTACGCCAATTAGTTGCAGCATCCCATCTAATAACCCATGCTTCAGACATGCACGAGATCTGAACAGGTTGGTGATGTGGATCAAGCTGCACCCGCGTACGCTCAAGTACAACAAGCTTGAGACTCCGACAGTTCCGACGCTCAAGTGTGTGTCTCCGACAGTTCTTGCAGTGCCAGGGACACCGAGGGAGTAGTTATGAAAAGGCGGTGTTCTCCTGTTTGTGGAGGATCTTGATTGCACTAGCTCTGGCAGTGCGGTCAGCCCGTGCGGGCGAGTCTTAGTAGTACATTGGCTTTCTAGGAAGCAGCCGCACGTGTATCGCAACACGTTTGCAACGGAGCTGCGAGCAGCCCTAGATGCCCCGAGGTCAGCGATGATTGTGCAGACAAATCTGCAAGACATCGCCTGCGGTGTGGCGAAGCCGTCACAAATAGTCGATATGCGCGTGCAATCCGCCTTGCATCTTGTCTCTGAGCTGTGGTTGGATGTGCGCTTTGTCGTTGACGCGGTGATTGCGAGCACGGCCAAAGTGACAGCAGACAAACACTTGTCTTTCCATGTGCTTCGGTCGCGCGAATTTTTGGCCACCAAACAGCTGAGGCGCTTGTGGTGGATTGACGCGCATATGACGCTATCCGACGGAGTCACTAAAGGTGCAGTCAACCGCGACGCTCTCACAGCAGCTTTAGAGGGCATCTGGAGCCAAGCCGGGCTCCCCCCAGTGCTTTGGCCAGTAGCGACATCAGCGCACGCGGCGCCGGCAACCAGAACGCCTTAAACGCAGTCCCTTGCCATTTTGGCCCTGGACAGCTAAGCTGTTCGAAACTCGACCAGCGTTGTTCCTTCCTCGTCCTTCTCTCTATCCGTCGCCATGTTTCATCAAGACAGCTGTTTCTTCACGTGCGCGCAAACCATCGTTCCTCCATCTCACCCAAACCTCCGTTCCGTATACCACGTAGGTGGTCGCTACACGCATTCATTTTCATTGCGGGACCTGCTCCGTTTGAGGGACCGTTTGGGATTCCCCAATCGTACCAAAACACCGTTCTTGCAGCGTGAACGCCGCGAATCGACGTTGCTGTTGTGTCCAGACGATCCTCAATCGTGCTTGGCATTTCAACACCGCGAATCAACGTGACTGTTCCCCGACGGTCCCAAATCGTGTTGGAACGCCATTCTTGGGACGTCAGCCTTCAGAATATATGAATCAGGTGTACAGTCTTAAGACGAATGTTCACTGCGCTAGAGCGGGAACCGCTTTTTTGAAAAGGACCCCCCCTCCACCACTCACGCTCCTGCAGTGTTTTCGGCGGATTTTCGCGGCGTTAGTTAGTGCGAGAACCACATTATAAAACACCACCCACCTTCCATCAGTGATGTCCTAGCACAATTTTTGGACGAATGTGCTCGTTGCGAGGGCGAGAGCCACATTGTAAAACCGACTCGCCCTCCATTCTTGAAGCTCTTGCGGACTTGTACGACGCATTTGCGCGGCGTTATGGCGAGATTTTCGTTTTGAAAACCACCCGCCATCCGTGAAACTTTTGCAAACTTCAGGACGAATGTGCACGACGTTCAGGCGATCACCGCATTTTGAACCCCACCCGCGTTTCACACGTGAAGTGGATTTCTTGCACTCTTATCGGAAGCTGGACCATCTGCATTACTAATGGCGGGCTGTTTTTCAATCCCAGGACTTTCTCAGGGTCGGGGACGATGCTGTGGCGGTGTTTGTGTTTGTGTGTGTGTGTGTTTGTATGTGTGTGTGTGTGTATGTGTGTGTTTCTTCGTGGGGAAACAACGAAACATGTATGCACCAGGGTCCCGTGTACACCAGCATCCGCTTTCCTGCGCAAGTTTCAGTGCAATGCCAGCAACAGCGTCGGTGTATGTAGAGCTCGTGTCCCTGTGCGAAAGTCTCGGGCGACCCCCCTGGCTCACCCTACCGACACGTCTCGGGGTGCGACAGGGAAGAGTTATACTATATATATCTATACATTCACATGTATAAGGGATGGAGGAGGAGGACACGGAGGAGGAAGACGAGGAGGAGAAGGATGAGGGAGGACGAGGTGGTGGAGGAGGAGGAGGAGGACGAGGAGGAGGAGGAGGAGGAGCGGGGAGGAGGGGAAGAGAGGAGAGAGAGGAGGAGGAGGAGGAGGAGGAGGAGGAGGAGGAGTAGGAGGAGGAGGGGGAAGAGGAGGAGGAGGCGGAGGAGGAGGACGAGGAGGAGGAGGAGGAAGAGGAGGAGGAGTAGGAGGAGGAGGAGGAGGAGGAGGAGGAGGAGGAGGAGGAGGCAGAGGAGCAGCATCGGCGCTCAGACTGCTGCAGTGCCCCGTCCGCCCCGTCGCCCCTCCCAAAAGCTGCTGGACCCCGAGCGCGAATTCGAGGAGGAGCGCTGGCCCGGCGACCTGCTCCGACGCCTGCCGTCGGCAGATTATGCAGGAGCCGCCGCGCGCGGCCAGGGTGACGCGGATCCTTCCTCGTTGTCGTCTTCGTCTTCGTTCCTGTCTTCGTCGTCGTCTTCGGCGTCGTCGTCGTAGTCGTCGTCTTAGTCGTCGTCGCTGTCCTTCTCTGCCTCTCCCACCCCCTCCACCACCCCATCTTCCCTTCGGAAAGGTCTTATACCTCCATGCCCCGCCAGGGCCACGTTTAGCCCTAGAATGATGCATGGACCCTCCTGGCGGGCACGATGGCGGCGGGCAGATGAGCCCTCTGCGTCTTCTCCTCCTGTTGCTGCTCCTCCTGCTGGAGCTCCGAGTCACGGGCGACGAGGTGTCCGCCTATTCCCGAGTCGGCCTTCTCGGCCAGCCTGTGCTCCGCCCGCGGGGAGGGGTCCTGTGATGGCTTCCCCGAACTCCCGCTCGGGCTCCTCGTCCACCGCCGCACCTTTGTTGGCTCCAGTCGTGTCCTGGCTTCGCGCCGCACGCGCCAGAGAGCGGGATTCCGCGCCGCCCGTTGTTCCGCTCGGCCGCGTCGCCGCACCGCGGTCCTTGCCCCGGCCCTCATCTCCATCCAGCGCGTCACTGGCACCCTGTTTTACGTCGGCGGGCGGAACTGTGCGCCACTCAGGGGCAATGTTTGGGGGGCGGGGATAGGCTCGGGGGGAGCACATCGACCCCCAGTCGCCCAGTGATCGCCGATTGGGGCCGTATAGCCCACCCCGTATAGGAGTGTATGGAATCGTTATCGCGGACCTATCGCCAATTCTGCGTCGGCGAGCGGGACTTCGCGTCAGGCGGCGTTGAGGAGTTGATCCTGTTGGGCTGACCACGCTCGGCTGGCCTGGCGTGTCCTCGTGGTCAAGGTGGCGTCCGCGCGGCCAATGCTGCAGCGAAGCTGCAAGCGCAGTGCTTGCTCAACGGCTTCAATGGCGGATAAGCTTGTTTTTTCCGTGACGCTGTTTGCCACTGGCGCGGGCAGTTACTCAGAGGTTGCCACGACATTGGCGAAGCTACATCACATTTATATTGACCACGGAATCAGACGCGCATCGCCCGCAGTGCACATCAATCTCGGCTAGTGTAGCCTTGGCGAGAGCGAGCGTGGCGAGCGTGGCTCCTGCTTGAATGGCTACAACGAGGCTGGTTACTACCCGAACGTTTTTGACAAGCATGGCCACGGCGAACTCGGCTTCGTGGGATGGTGTGTGACATGCAGTGCTTCGGCACGGGTGGCTACGACAGGGCAGGGGGCGACTCAAGTGTCTACACGAAGCGCCGTTGCGACCCCAGAGTTTCCGACAAAACGGGCTTTCTGAATGGCTTTGGCTGTCGTGGCCACGACAAGGGGGGCTGCTATGTACGACAGGGGCGGTTGCGACAAACACGGCTACGACAAGGTGGGCTACGATTCCAGCAGTTTCGACCAGCGTGGATGTGTCTTCAAAGGTTGCGACGGGGCAGGCTACGACTCCAGCGGCTACGACCCGGGTGGTGCGACGCAGGTGGCTGTGACAAGAATCGTTACGACGCGAACGGCTGCGACAAGCAAGGCTGGCTGAGGCCTGAGAGCAGCTTCGGCAAGGGCGGCCGCGACAGGCGCGGTTACGACCAAACGGGCGGTGCCTTCAGCTTTCTCGGCCACCAAGTCGCTACGGCAAGTGCGTCTGCGACCCGAACGTCTGCGGCCTGCCTGGCTGCGGCCCGAGCCGCCATACCAAGGGTGGGTACGGCGCGGATTGCTTCGACCAGACAGGCTGCGATGGTGGCGTGTTGCGACGAGCTCGGCCTCGATCTCAGAGGATGCGACGAGAGCGGCTGGTCGCCCTGCCACGACATGCGCGGCTACCGCCCGAGAGCGGCTTCGGAAAGACTGCTATACAGTGCGCCCCGCTCTCTCGTGGAGGGCGCCCGTCTGTGGCAGGACTGGCATCGGCCGGCAGGGCAACAACGAACGCGGCTACGGCGCGAGCGATTGAGACGGGGTGTGCTGCGGCCAGATGGGCTACGACACGCGCCGCTGCGACGGGAGCGGGTTCCATTCGCAGGGCAGGGCCACTTTCAGAACAGTTGCGGCGAGCGCGGCTGCGGTGAGGGTGGCCGAGTGCGCGTAGCTCGCCTGGGGCGGGTTTTCGGACGTCCTCAAGATCTGCCGCGCGCGGTGGGCTGGGGGATTGGTCCTTCTTCTTGTCCTCCTGCTCCTCGTCTCGGTCCTCCACCATCCTGTGCCTAGGGGGGCAACTCCTGGGAGTTTAAATTCAGCATCGGCCCTGGTGCATCCGTGGTCGAAACCGGCCTGATTCAGCATACTCCTGGCCTAGTCGTCGTCGGGAGGGCACAGAGAGGAGACAGTGAGGGAGGAGGAGGAGGAGGAGGAGGAGGAGGAGGAGAGGAGGAGGAGGAGGAGGAGGGAGGAGGAGGAGGCAGGGAGGAGGAGGAGGAGGAGGAGGAGGAGGGAGGAGGAGGAAGAGGAGGAGGAGAGGAGGAGGCGGAGGCGGAAGGCGGAGGCGGAGGCGGAGGAGGGAGGAGGAGGAGAGGATGAGGAGGAGGAGGAGGAGGAGGAAGAGGAGAAAGAGAAGAGGAGGAGGAGGAGAGAGGAGGAGGAGGAGGATGAGTAGGAGGAGGGAGGAGGAGGAGGAGGAGGAGGAGGAAGGAGGTGGAGGAGGAGGAGGAGGAGGAGGAGGAGGAGGAGGAGGAGGAGGAATAATAATAATAATAAGAAGAAGAATAATAAGAATAATAATAAGAAGAATAACCAGAAGAAGAATGAGAATAAGAATAATAATACGAATAATAATAATAATAATACGAACAAGAAGAATAATAATAATACGAATAATAAGAATAATAATAATAAGAATAAGACGAATAAGAAGAAGAAGACGACGAATAAGAATAATAATAATAATAAACATAATAAGAAGACGAATAAGAAGAATAATAAGAATAATAAGCAGAATAATAATAATAATAATAACAATAAGAATAATAATAAGAATACGCAGAATAAGAATCATAAGACGAATAATAATAAGAATAATAATAATAATAAGAATAATAAGAAGAATAATAATACGAAGAAGAAGAATACTAATACGAATAATAAGAATAATAATAAGCATAATACGAAAAACAATACTAGAATAATAAGAAGAATAATAAGAAGAATAAGCAGAATAAGCAGAATAATACGAATAAGCATAATCATAATAATAAGAAGAATAATAAGAATAAAAATAAGAATAATGATAATAATAATAAGAAGAATAATCAGCAGAATAATAATAAGAAGAAGACGAAGGAGGAAGAGGAGGAGGAGGAGGAGGAGGAGGAAGGAGGAGAGGAGAGTAGGAGAAGGAGAAGGAGGAACGGAGGAAGGAGGAAGGAGGAAGGAGGAAGGAGGAAGGAGGAGGAAGGAAAGGAGGAGGAGAGGAGGAAGGAGGAAGCGAGGAAAAAAGGATCGGGAAGAGGAAGGAGGAAGGAGGAAGGAAAAGGAGGGAAAGAGGAAGGAGGCAGGAAGGAAGGAGGAAGAAGCAAAGAGAAGGAGGAAGAGGAAGGAGAAGGAGAAGCGAAGGAGATAGAAGGAGGAAGAGGAGGAGGAAGGAGGAAGGAGGAAGGAGCGAAGGAGGAATAGGGAGGAAGGAGGAAGGAAGGAGGTAAGGAGGAAGGAGGAAGGAGGAAGGAGGAAGGAGGAAGGAGGAAGGAGGAAGGAGGAAGGAGGAAGGAGGAGGAGGAGGAGGAGGAGCCTAGAAATGCCGCTGGTCATGATCTGCACCCCCCCCTCTTGGACGCACCCTTCTTGGCCGCCCCCGATAGAAATGCCCCTGGCCCAAGGTGCCCCCAGGATTTCCACGGAGGCCCCCACGGCCTCCACAGGACTCCTCACGAGGCCCAGTGGGCCCTATAGGCTCCAAAACGGCGCGACAAGGTGGGGGTACCTTGGTCCAAGGGCACCTTTCGCAACACTCAGAGGCGACGGTAGGGGCGAATAGCCCAGGGGAGAGCAATTCATGTATTCAGGTGCGCCGATGATCTCTGTCTTCGAAAAGGCCCCTGGGCGAATACGTGTGATGCCCGCCCCTGGGCTATTCGCCCCTATCGTCGCCGCCGAAACACCCGCAATCGGGTCTAATCCTGGGCCAAATTTGGGTCTCTTCGGTGTCAATGGCGTCTTACTACTGCCCAGTAGCCCTAAATCAGCGCTCTGGAGAAGACCCGCCAGGAGTCGTCCTCCGCCGAGCGCGCGAGGGGAGCGTGCTGCGGCGGCTGCCACGTCGTGGCCGCACGAACGCGCCTCGGCGCTCTCTCTGGCGTTTCCCTTGCCCCGGTCCACCTGCCGCCCCCCGTTCGCTGCTGCCCTTCGCTGCTCCTGCTCCACCGCCGCTGCCCACAGCGGCCCTCCTCGCCCCTCCTTGCCGTGCACCCTGCTGCTGCTGCTGCTGCTGCTGCTGCTGCTGCTGCTGCTGCTGCTGCTGCTCCCGGCCCCGCAGCTGCACCCCCGCTGTCCTCGAAGAAGGACGGCGTGTTTTTTTGTTTGTTTGTTGTTTTTTTCCCTCTCAGATCACAAGCTCGAAGAAGACACACACACAAACGTCATAAACATAAACTTTGGCACTCCGCGCGGATTTCTTGGATCCGCGCGGAGCGCCACTGGCGGCGCATCCGGCGCGCCCCCTGGCGCGCTTCGCGCGCCAGGGAGGCGGGCCCAGCCCAAATCCAAGAAATCCGTGCGGGGCGCCAAAAGTTTATGCTCATGGCGTTTCTTCTTCTTCTTCTTCTTCTTCTACATGCGGCCGAAGATGGATCTCAAGTGCACAAGCTGGGAAGTTCGACCGTGGCCGACACGCCCAGTGTCTTTCGCTACCAGCAGTTCGCGCTTGCCCCACGATAGAAATTGCACACGACATGTACTCGGAAGGTCCGCGCGGGGTTCTTGAATCCGCGCTGCCCCCCCCTCCCACGGTGGCGCCTGAGGCGCCTCCCCCCTCGTCGCGTTCCGCGCGCCATGGTCTGGGGTCCAGCGCCGATCCTGGAAATCCGTGGGGGCCTCCGAAAGTACGTTTAGGCAGACGTTTCTTCCTCTGCTGCCGCTGCTGCTCCTGCGCCTGCTGCTGCGTCCCCCCCAGGTGGCTTCTTCTGCTGCCTGGGGGCATGACGGCTTTTCTGTGATCGGAGGGACATTTTCGGGAGGGGCACGTCGTATCAGAGACTCGCGCGTCGTCTTTGAACCTGTGCGTGTTACTCATTTGCTCTGTCACCAAGAGTGTGTCTGACTCCTCCGGCCCGCATTTTTTTGTTGCAACGGCAGCTGAGGCAAAGCAGTCTGGCTATTTTTGAAGGGCTATAAAAAGTTCAAAATTCTGGCGCGTGTGAAAGACGCTCTTTCATCAAAAACCTTGCACGTATTCGGTGGTAGCATTGTATGCCTCCCAGATGGGGTCGGAATGGACGGGGTCGGAAGAACGCGTTGCATCACCGACACATCGACGATGCGGCTCGATGTGGAGCCAGAAGTTCTCCACGCCGATGGCACTGATGCATCGCCGACGTCGCAGTTGCATCGGCGATGCGGCGCGATTCTTCAGCACCATCTACTCGGACCCCATTCAGGAACTTCTAAACACTCTGCTGCGGTCGTCCGACCAGCGCGACGTTGATGTTTTTTTTTTTTTGCCCCCCCCCCCACAGCTAGCGACGAGCAGCCAGAGCGGTTGGATCGCCCAACAGAAGAGTTCTTTTTCGCCCCTATCCTTGTCATCTACTTTCGTGTGCCCCATCCCCATCCGCATCTTTCTTGCTTCTATGTGTTGTTTCCTCTCATCATTTGGTTCCGATCCTCCCCGCCTCTTTCTGTCTTGCTTCGTTATCCTCCTCGTTTCCGTTCTTTTCGCGTCCTGATCGTCTTCGTTGTCGTCCCCCTCCCTCCCAACCCCTCTCCCCCACCTGCTCTCCTCCACACCTCCCCCTCCAATTCCCCCTCCCGTCCCATTACCCTTCCCCTCCCTGCTGCTCCTCCTTCTCTTTCTTCTCCGCCTCCGCCTCCGCCTCCGCCTCCGCCTCCGCCTCCGCCGCCTCCGCCTCCGCCTCCGCCTTCTCCTCCTCGTCCTCCTCCTCCTCCTCCTCCTCCTCCTCCTCCTCCTCCCCTCCTCCTCCTCCTCCTCCTCCTCCTCTCCTCCCTCCTCCTCCTCCTCCCCCTGTCCCTCGTCATGGCTTGCCCCTCTCCCCCCTCTCCCTCTTCCCCTCCCCCTCCTCCTGGTCCCTCGCCTCCCCGCCCCATCCCCCCCCCCACGTCGACGGGGCGATGCCTGCCCTCGAGGGCGCCAGCGCCACACTGCAACAACGCCCCTCCCCTGCTTAAGGAGGGGCCAACAACGCACAGACACACAATTAATCGTCGATGCCCCGAAAGTATGGGAACATATGGGAAATGGGGGGGGGGGAAGACTACCCCAGTGCGACCCTACCTAGAAGTTGGAGCCCCTAGGAAAGCAGCATTAGTTGCTATGCTATGCTATGCCATGCCATGCTATGCTGCGCTATGCTATGCTATGCTAATGTTATGCTATGCGATGCTATGCTATGCTTTGCAATGCAGTGCTATGCTATGCTATGCTATGCTATGCTATACTATGCTGCGCTGCGTTATGCTATGCTATGCTATGCTAAGCTAAGCTATGCTATGCTATGCTATGTCATGCTGCGCTGTGCTATGCTATGCTCTGCTGTGCTATGCTATGCTGCGCAATGCTATACTGTGCTGTGCTGTGCGGCGCTATGCTAGGCTATGCTATGCTATGCTGCGCTATGCGATGCTATGCTGGGCTATGCTATGATATGCGATGCTGCGCTATGCTATGCTACGCTATGCTATGCTGTACTGTGCTCTGCTATGCTAAAGCTCAGCGAAGCTAAGATGAAGGTAAGCTACACTAAGATAAAACTGAGGTAAGATGAAGCTAAGCCGAGGTAAGATGAAATAGGCTAAGCTAAGATGAGATAAGCAACGCGAAGCTAAGGGAACGTCACTGGGGGAACCGCGGGGTGGATGCCAGGGGAACCGCCCGGGGCGCATTCCACTGCCCGGCCCTTTAAGCTTACCGAGTAAGAACCCTTCTAGGCAGAGCCTAGGTAGGGAACAAAAACTTAGAACATATGGAAGTCATCCTGTTGCTTGTGTGTAGTCATTTGTGTGTCCCAGGGCCCCTCCCCTGCTCACCCCTCCGAGATGAGCAGCAACACTCGCGCGCCGCAGTGATCTCTCTCCGTTTGCTCGGGGAGCACTCTGGGCCACGCTGCCTCTGCCCCCGTCCCCTCCGCGGGTTCGAGCCTCACGCCGACGAGTGACTGCATGTGTCCGCCACGGCTCCGTTCTCCCTCCCCGCGAGGCCGCCGGCTGACGGGCGCCAGCGAGTCCGAGAGCGCTGGCGCCGCGACGACGTCGGAGGCGCCGCCGCCAGCCTTGGGCGAGGACAGCGCCACGACGGAAGAGGACGGCACCTCCGCAGACAGCCCGCCAGGCGCCCCCTCGCCCGGATGCCCGGCCCGATGGTTCGAGAGAGCGTCTGCTGCCGCTGCAGGCAAGGGTCGGGCGGGCCCAGGACGAGGATGAATCCGGATCCGTTCCAGAGCATTCTGGAACGCCCTCAGAGCGTTCCCGGACGGGACTAGACCGAGGATGAATCCGTTCCAAAGGCGTTCCGCAACGCTCTGAGAATGCCGCGGCGCCCGATACATTTTCCAGAGCTGCCGCATCTGAGAGATTCTCGATATATCCTCACCTGATGTTACCCTCGTCTTGGCTTCGTTTTACAACACACCTCCCCCCAAACCAGAGAGGTAGGGGGTTTCCAGAGCCCGCGCCACACCAGAAAATTATTCGGGGGGGTCCAGAACCCCTCCCCCCCCAGAAAATTATTCGAGGGGTCGTGAAGCCCAACCATCCTATGGTGTTGGGTCCTCGTTTTGAAGAGACAGCGCCCCGCGTTCCTTCCTCCCGCTGTCCCCCCTCCCTCTCCCCATCATCAGCATCATCGTCACTATCATCACCATCGCCCATCATCCATCAGCACCATCATCTGCAGCATCATCCTCATCCACATCCTGATTATCATTGTCGATATCATCATCATGGTCCCCACCACCCATGTCGGCACACCCCTCACACGTTTCGTGGCCCCATAGGGAGCTCCCACTAAGGTCCCAGTGGCGCAGCTCGCATGGCAGTGCCGCCCCATTTTGGCACACCCCTCACATTTTTCGTGGCTACATAGGGAGCTCCAAGTAAGGTCCCAGTTGCGCAGCTCGCATGGCGGCGCCGCCCTATTTCGGCACACCCCTCACACGTTTTCGTGGCCCCATAGAGAGCTCCTCCTAAGGTCCCAGAGGCGCAGTTTGCGTGGCGGCGCCGCCCCATTTTGGCACACCCCTCACACGTTTCGTGGCCCCATACGTAGGGAGCTCCTCCTAAGGTCCTAGTGACGCAGCTTGCATGGCGGCGCCGCCCCATTTTGGCACAACCCTCACACGTTTCGTGGCCTCATAGGGTGCTGCACTTGAGGTCCCAGCGGTGCAGCTCGCATGGCGGCGCCGCCCCATTTTGGCAGACACCCATCACACGTTTCGTGGCCCTGTCGAGAGCCCCAGCTAAGGTCCCATTGGCGCATTTCGCATGGCGGCGCCGCCCCATTCTGGGGCACCCCTCACGTTTCGTGGCTGCATAGGGAGCTCCAACTAAGGCCCCAGTGGCGCAGCTCGCATGGCGGCGCCGCCTCATTCTGGCACACCCCTCACACGTTTTCGTGGCCCCATACGGAGCTCCTCCTAAGGTCCCAGAGGCGCAGTTTGCGTGGCGGCCCCGCCCCATTTTGGCGCACCCCTCACAAGTTTCTTGGCCACATAGGGAGCTCCAGACCTGTCGGTCCTGTGGACTCGCTTTGGGCCGTCAGCTGTCCGGCGCGTTGCCCCCTCGGTCGACGTCGCCCAGGCGTGATCCTGGACTGCGGCCGAAGTCGGGGGTGGGAAGAAGGAGGACGACGATTGGTTGCTCCATCTCTTTGCGATGCTCTCGCGCGCCAGCCGCCACGAGGACCTCCTGCTCATGCGGGTGCCGCGCGTCGACTTCGTGGCAGGGCCGCTGATGGGCTTGCAGAAGCAGCTGGAGCAGATTGCGGCGCCCACGAAGCGGCGCAGGAGGGAGGCGACGGTCTTCGCCAGGGAGCTGAGCTTCATTGAGTTCATCCGCGAGGCTTGACCTGAGGAGCGGACCGCCCGAGCTGCGCCTTCTCTCGACTGCCCAACTGTTTGGCCTCACGCCGCGGACGACCTGCGCGCGTCGCTGGGGCCCTCTCGGGGCGACCGGCGCGCGTCGCGGGAACTCCGCGCGGCGCTCTGCCCAGCGCCTCGCTCGCCCGTCGTCGCTCTGCCCGGCGGTCAGATCCTTGCCCGCCATCGGCCAGCCAGCTGGCCCTCTTTGCCCCTCGCCGCGGACGACCCGCGCGCGTCGCCGGGGCCCTCTCGGGGCGACCGGCGCGCGTCGCGGGGGCTCCGCGCGGCGCTATGTCCGGCGCCTCGCTTGCCCGTCGTCGCTCTGCCCAGCGGCCGGATCTTTGCCCGCCGTCGGCCTGCCAGCTAGCCCTCTTTGCTCCGCGCCACGGACGACCCGCGCGCGTCGCTTGGACCCCTTCTGGGCGACCCGGCGCGCGTCGCGGGGGCTCCGCGCTGCGTTGCGCCTGCAGCCTTGGGCCTTGGAGGGCAGGGGCGAAGAGGGAGAAAAACAACGCGTGGGAGCGGGGGCGATCCTCGCGAGGGGCGCGCCGACATGGGCGTCGCGGTGCGCGGGCGCTGCCGTCGGCGTTGCCAGGGGGCTTCCGTGGCCGCCACGCTCAATGCCGCGAGTGCTCAGAACCAGACGTGCCCGAACCGATCATTCTTGTAGACATTCGCACTAGGTGTATTCATGTTCGCATTCGCGCAAATAGATACATTCGCGCGCGGACTCATGCACAATAGGAATGATTCACTCGCGTTCAGACTCACCCCGCGCTCAGTCTTTCGTACTCAGACCTAACGTCTTCGTTCTTGTTGTGTGCCCCGCCACACATTCCAGCGCGCCCCTCATGCGGTTCGTGGCCCCGTAGGGAGCGCCACCGAAAACGATATTCACAATTGCGGTACTCACAATTTCATATGGTTGGGTCCTTCGCCAGGCTAGTTTGGGGGGGGGAAGGTCGCGCGTTCCAGAGCTCGAGCCTGCACCCTGACCCCTTACGGGTCATTCAATTTCGGTGACACAGATTATTGTCAGCCCTACCACCACCATTACCCTTACCATCAGTACTACTACTACTACTACTACTACTACTACTACTACTACTACTACTACTACGACTACTACGACTACTACTACTACTACTACTACTACTACTACTACTACTACTACTACTACTACTACTACTACTACTACTACTACTACTACTACTACTACTACTACGACTACTACTACTACTACTACTACTACAACTGCTACTACTACTACTACTACTACTCTACTACTAACTACTACTACTACTACACTACTAGTACATACTACGACTACGACTACTACTACTACTACACTACTACTACTACTACTGACTATACTAGCTACTACCACTACTACTACTACTACTACGACTACTACTACTACACTAGTACTACTACTACTAGTACAACTATACTACTACTACTACTACTAACTACTATTACTACTACTACTACTACTACCACTACTACTACTACTACTACTACTACTACTACTACTACAATTATCATTACTACTACTACAACTACCACTACTACTATGCCTGATACTACTACTACTACTACTACTACTACTACTACTACTACTACTACTGCCATGACTACAAGTATGACTACTACTATTACTACTAGTACTACTACTACTACTACTACTACGACTACTACTACTACTACTACTACCACCGCTACTACCACTACTACTACTACTACTACTACTACTACTACTACTACTACTACTACTATTACTACGACTACTACTACTACTACTACTGATACTATCATCACCACCACGATTACTACTACTAGTACCATTAGTACTATTACTACAACAACAACTACGACGACTACTACCAGTACTACTACCACTACAACTACAACTACAACTGCTGCGACTGCTACACTTTCTACCACTACTATTACCACCACCACTACTACTACCACTACTACTACTACTACTACTACTACTACTACAACTACTACTACGACCTCTACTAGTACTACTACTACTACTACTACTACTATTACTACTACTAGTACTATTCTTATTACTACTACTACTACTACGACTACTACCACGAATACTATTAATATGACTACTACTACTACTATTACTACTACTATGGCTACAACAACTACTACTACTATTATTATTACCACTACTACTATTACTACCAGTACTACCAGTACTACTACTACTACCACTACTACTACTACTTCTACTTCTACTACTACTACTACTACTACTACTACTACTACTACTACTACCACAACTACAACTACAACTGCAACTACTGCGGCTATTATTATTTCTACCAGTACTACTACCACCACCACTACTACTAGAGCCACCACTATTACTATTACTACCACTACTACTACTACTACTCCTACTACTATTACTAGTACTATTACTTATATTTTTTAAAACTAGTACTACTACTATTACGACTACTACCACGACTACGACTGCTTCTACTACTTTTACTACCGCTACTACCAACCACCACTACGAGTACCAGTACCAGTACCCTTACCATTGCCACTACCACTACTATTACGAGGACTACGACTATTATTACTATCGCTAGTATTTCATTGCCATTACCTCTACCAACTACCGCTATGAGTACCAGTACCAGTACCCTTACCATTGCAATTACCACTGCCACTGTTAGCACCATTACCACTGCCACCACCACTAGCATTACTTCTACCACCGTTACCATTCTTACTGCGGCTACTACTACTACTGCGACTACTATTACTACTACTATTTCTACCACCGCTACTACAACTGCCACTACTACTGCTACTACTACCACTACCACTGCTACTAATTTCCTTCAGTACTATTATTACTACCGCTACTACTACTACTACTACTACTACTACTACTACTACTTTTACCGCTACTAGTACCACCACCACTACTACTACTACTACTACTACTACTACTACTACTATTAGTACTACTACCACTACTACTACTACTCTTATTGCTTCTACTCCTACTACTACAACCACCACTACTACTATTACTACTGGTTTTCTTACGACTATGATTATAATTGTTATTACCACCAACGCCTTGACCAACCACCGCCACCACCACCACCGCAATCACCACCATTACCATAATCACTACCACTACCACACTGCTATTATTATTATTATTACTACTACTACTACTACGACTACTATTACTAGTACTACTACTACT